ATACAAATCGAAAAAAATATTTTTTTGTGGCCCTTCAACGCTTTCGTAATAATGCAATTTTTCTAGATGTATTTTGTACAATTCATACAATCATTTATATGAATATAGACAAATTTTAATTGGTACTAAAGTCTACCATAAATGTTTACCTAATAGGAAATTGTTTACTTCTAAAAATTATGAATCATTTGAAATCTTCGAAACTGGAACCCAACTACTTATAATGAACTATATTCATTGAAATCTTGTCATAGCACATTCTGAATTTCGATTACTTTGGGCGTTTTGTTATTTGAATTTTATTCACGAGTACATAATCTTGCTTTGCTAACACGTAGAAAACGTTTCACTATGCTTTTCATGTTCATTATTGTTATTGTTGAGCCATGAATTTAGAATGTCAATTTTTTTCTCGCAGTAATGGAAAATTGCAGCAAACATTTTAAATGATGGTACTTCAGATCAAAGAATGAAAGGAATACTGCAAGAAATTGAGCATGTGATTTCAGATTTATTCAACGTATTTATAGAATGCGGAAGGAATGAATAAGTATAAGTGCAACTCAAGACGCTAGCGAGTTTATTATCAAACAAGATGCCTTCTGTAAATGAGATTCAATGAGGTCGCAGTAAAACATCTGTTATGTTATTAATTTTTTAAAGATAAGGATTATTGGCGGAAAAAGGGCCGGATTGAGATTTGGTCTTTTTTGTGGAAGTTTGATTTTAAGGTTACTTTTCCCTGATACATCTCTGCTGATGCTTTGCACTCACAAATTATCTGGTGATTTGATTATGAATATAATATATACCTACAAATTACCTGCTGATCTGATTATGAATATAATATATACCAATTATTTGGTGATTTANTGAATAAAGCCAATTTTGAACAAAAAAAAAGCGCGTTTCCTTTTTAAGGCCCAGGACTTTTCAGCCCAGGTGCTATATACATGTATAATGAAGGTTTTGGGTCTAATAAATGAAAGTCTTTCTAAAACAACACTGTTTATAGCATTTCAATGGGATCATGTCTCATGAAGGTTTTTTCAATGTTCGGCCTTTTATAAGTTTCAAAATACATGATACGATTCCACCACAGAAATGTGTTCAAAAATTATATCAGAAGTTTTTCAATTTTTCTAGTATGAGAAACGTTTCAATAGCGTTCAGCTCTACAAGACTTTGGTTGATCTGCACTATGCAATCAAGCTTCTACTTAAATGAATAATAATAACATTAATAACTACATAGCTGGAGCCTAAAAAGTCATCAAGATTTTGTATTCTCTTCCCTGCATGGGTCCTGACCATGAAATAACAGGAAAAGGGGTGTTTTTCTTTGAGCCTACTAGCTGATTAGTCCTAAAACTTGGCTTAGGTTTTGACACTCTACGTCTACGTGGTAATCGAAACTCTGGAAATACATTGAAAAAACTCATAAAATCCGTAGAGATCAAATCACTTCTGGCATGTTTTTTTACGAAACTGAAGAGCTCGGCTCATCTCAGAATCTGGAATCTGACCTTTTCCATTCTCAAATCAAGTGAGCGGAAATTGGAGACCCAAAAAAAATGTCTTCAACATCTTGGTCTACTTAATAGCGTGATAGTATAAAGGTCCTGAACTAAAAGGCCGAGCAAGTGGCACCTTTGACCTTTATGATATAATCATATTCTTCATATGAGGACTATATCCACAGGTATATGGTAATATTATCATGTGATGTATTTATGTTTTGGTATTAGCAATACACATTGTTATAAAGCAAACCCATGAGTACAGTTACGAGTCACATTCTACGGGAGTATCTATATGCAAGGTGGTTTTCACCTTCCTTTCGTGTACCTAAGTTCAGTATCGAATCCTGAATTTGAATTTTTCCTCAACGGAATAACGCCATTATCAACTGAATGAAAAAAGATGTATGCGCGCCATATTACTCTCAATTTTTGGACAAAAAGTATAACGTATAATTTATTCGAAAATTTCAAGTTGTGCGTAGATACTGAAAGTTTCTATCATCAATTACTTTGCTCATCTGAATAAATTATCTATGTAATATTGGATTTTGCTAGACTTGAATGTGAAAATCACGAACCTTACAGAACTCTGAATTTTTTAACGAAGACGAAAATCTTATCGGCGAATATTTCCGGACGTTCCACATGTTTGACGACGTCAATTTTGATATCCCACACCATTACTTTGGAGACCACCGAACTAGAGTGGGCATATTTTTGAAGCATTTGATAAGGTGATATCAGTCTATGAAAGGTTCTACAGTGTGAATAAAAAAATTTCAGCCCTCTTAACTTCTGTACTCTTCATCAAGAGGTCGCTACCAACTTTTTTTTTCAAATACAGAGGGGGATCGTATGATATCTCGTTTAATTAGTTTTTTTCGATTCTCTATCCAGTCTGTCATAATGAGGAGGTAACATCAGGAAATCTCATTTGGGTTTGTCAATTATTCAAACCGGTACTTAGATATGATCCCTTAGAATGGCCCGCTAGTTCACCTGAAATAACGCCTCTAGATGTTTTTGGGAGAACACGTGCCATTTAAAGTATACTATACTAAAAGGCAGTCTATCTAAAAACTTGTGGATATAGTCAAAGTAATCGTTATTGTGAATAACGGCGCCATCAAAGGCCAAAAAAACAATACAAAGAGATAAAGCCGCTGCCGAGTAGTCCACGTGGACTGAAGAATTGGCGGTTCGTATTGGATAATTTTTACTAACCGAGTTTTATGATTGGCTGAAGAATTATAAAATTAAATTTTGAAGTCTTGTTACGGTGACTAATAGAATGCGAGCCGTCGTGTTGTCAGTGTTCAGTTCAGGAAATGATCGCGATTTGAGTGTTGAAATTCGATATTGGTGCAGTTATA